CGGCGGCGGGGCCGAAACTAGCTGCATGCAGCAGATGTCGTACCCCCCCCTTTCCCTATCCACCCTTTTCGTTCGGCCCGAGCTGCGCCGGATAGCCGGGCCTGTCGGAGTGGAAATCGATACGGCGCAATTGACACACAGATCGGGCGCGCAAAAGCGAAGAATCGATACCGAAGCAACATCGCTGCGATGGCGGAGCAGACGATGTCGAATGTGCGAGAACTCGCCCTGATCAGGAGGAAGACTGGCACGCAGGGGGCGCAGGCGCAGGTGGACCTCCGAGGATCCTGCGACAAGAAGTGATGGGAGGAGGAGGAGGAGGAGGAGGAGGAGGAGGAGGAGGCGGAGGCGGAGGCGGAGGAGGAGGAGGAGGAGGAGGAGGAGGGAGAGCAGGACGGGACGTGGACAGGAAGGAGGACGGGCGTGGGGAGGGCGACTGCAACTCAGGATTAGGAAGGGGACGTCAGCATGGCAGAAGGCGGGGGGTAATTTGAAGGGGCCCTGGGACACACAAACAAATACACACAAACAGAAGGACTCCCCATATTTCCGCATGTATTCTGGCTTTCCGTCTTCCCCCCCACTTCCCATATTTTCCCATCTTTTCTGGGGAATCGACGATTCATTGTGTCTGTGTGTGTTTTCCCCCCTCCTGATAATTGAAGGACCAGGAGGGTGAAAGAGATTTCGGAGGAGGGGGCGGACAAGGAGCCGCAGGCACGAGGGCCAAGGGCCCGTCCCGGCGCCCCTCGCGCGCGAGCGCGCGGCAGCTCTTCCTCGTGAATTGTTACCTTCCTGTGCCCCGGGCAGGCCGCAGGCGCAGACTCTCCCTCCTCCTCCTCCTCCTCCTCCTCCTCCTCCTCCTCCTCCTCCTCCTCCTCCTCCTCCTCCTCCTCGTGTCCGCCTGCAGCGCATGGCGCCGCAGCGCCTCAGAGCAGCTTGGTCACCGTGTCGGACTGCAGAAAGATGTGTCCCGATCCCTCCACTTGTTCTCGTCTGCAGCACTGTAAAGCCAATTCGTCACATCCACATCAAAACCGGCATCCGAGGAAAGGGGAACGGGGAAGGGGAAGGGAGAGGAGGGGGGGGGGGGGGGGCAGGGGGAGGGAGCGAGGGAGCGAAGTGCAAGTGGCTCGCATGGAGACTCGGGGATGCGCACCGCGCGCGTCCCCGGGGTCCACTCATGCTGGCGCTTTCTGTTTGGCCGGGCTCCGAAGTTCCAGGGGCCACCACGCCAACACTGAACCAAACCGCTCGGAAGGGATGAAAAGAAGGAGGGAAGGAGGGAAGGAGGGGAGGGAGGGCGGAGGGCGGGGAGGAGAGAGGGACGGAGGACGCTCGCACGGCTGGGGGGGTACTGGAGCAGCGGCCCGACGCGGCAGCAGGAGGTCTCATGCCTCCCAACCTCAATTTCATTCGAAATCCGCATCCCCTCACGGGAGCTTTCGTAATCCGCACACCCTTCCAACAGGACTTTGGAAAACACAACTCTGGATCCACCAGGCTAAGAACACGGGACAGGGAAGCACAAGAGACTGGCTCATCAACATGACAGAACCACTGACGAAACGGGCATCTGCACATCAAAGTCGTCCTGATGAAAACGATTCGTGTACAGCTTAATGTTGTTGCACTTCTGGACCCGCATAGGTCGGGAGGCGTCGTTGTGGACCTGTTCTTGTTTCGGTTCATCACATGGTTTGTCCTCGTCCCTCTTCTCCACGTCATCGTCCTCGGAATGCAGCCCTCCCTCTTCTTGGGCTCCTCCACAGCCGACTGGCTGGGAAACCATTGCACTCCGAGGTGCTTGTTGGCCAGGTCCCTCAAACGGCGCTCCACCAGGAGATCTGGTTGGGTCCACCTCCCAGTAGCAGCTGAAGTTGGTGCCACGCTTGATCACCGCGTGCACCAGATCTGTCCTACTGCACCGTGGAAGAGCCGACGGCACCCGACTCCCAAATGCACTGCACATCGTGACTGTTATTGCTGGTCACGAGGACCGTGTCCGAGACGGGATATGCGGAGTAGAAGCCAACTCCGAGCTGTCCTATCATGTAGATGTCGTCATCGACAGCGACTGCCTGAACGAAGGGTGTGGTGCCAGCCTTGGCGATGGTGCCGAAGATGTTGATCGACTGGTGCTTGGTCATGCCAACACCAGAGCAATCGGGCATGATAGTCGAGTTGGTCTTTGCCAGGAGTCGGTGCGCCTCACGCTCGTCTGCCCATGAGGGACTCACAACGGTTCTTGTCCAGGGCATCAGACGCATTGTAAATGAGCGGGCGCAGGAAACTCTCCTTGCTGGAGTGGAAGGCGTTGACGATCAAGCTCGGGGGGGGAGGAGCACGAGCAGCCTGAGGCAGAACATCCCTGATCCGCGCCGCCTATCGGGCGGCCTCCTCTCTGGCCCGAATCCGCTCGGCGAGTGCACGCAATCGATCGTTGTCGACGAGGCGCGAACTTCCTGCCGCAGCGGAGCCTGGAGGAGCAAGCAGCACCGTCTTGGGCGGTGCTCGAGACTGCTGAATGTTGCGGGTGGCCTCCGGTGTGCTGGCCTCGCCTGTCCTCCGCGGAGCACCGACTGCCACTCCGAAGCCGCTCGAGCTGGCTCCCAGGCAGCTGGGTGATGATCGGGCGACGTCGGACCTCTCCGCAGGCGCCCCGGCGCGCGCCCGCCG